AAAAAAAAAAAAAAAAAATTAAATTAAAGTGCCTAGTAGTCATATCATATCGCATATAACTGCCGGTTGCATAGAATGCGCACTGTGTGGTTTCGAGTCTGCTCACAAGGTGGCATGAAGATCTTCAGCGCGGCGGGAATGGCGATGCCGCTCTCCGTCTGATTGTTCTCGAGTAGCGCGCAGATCACTCGCGTAGTGGCGCACATTGTCGAGCTCACCATGTGAACGTACTCCACCTGGTGTCAAGCGGGTGCAAGAAAATAAACAAGGGAGCAATGTCAAGGTTTCTCTTGCGGGTCGAAACAAACGCGAGAATTTGAGAGAAACTGCAGCGACCTCGAAGGTCAAGATTACCACAGTGACCGCTATTGAAAGACCATTGAAACCGGAAGAAGAGTGAATGCACACGAACCCTCTAGATGGGGTAGATTCAGTTAGCTGTAAAATTAACATTGCAGGGTGTGATCTCGTAGAACTTTCTGTACTTTATCCAACAGCTACGTGTACGCATTCAATATTCACACGGCAAATGTCACGAATCGAAACAAACACGCGTTATAGGAACTGCTGTACAAGTTCGCCGCGTTTCGATGCCAGGGGGCGCCGCTCACCTGTCCGCTCATCTTCTTCGTCTGTCCATACCGCACCAGCAGCCGCCGCGCCTGGTGGTCGGTGCAGTTTGAGCAGGAGACGAGCTCTCCGAACGCTCCCGATCCCGGGAACCACGCCTCCAGGTCCTGCTGCTTGGCCACGGCGTGGGGGAGCGCACCTGGGAACGGGGATGAGGGCGCATGAGGGTCAACAGAGCCGGACGGGAACGCCGGCGAAACAAAAACTTGCGTAGTTATTTACCTATTCTTTACTTATGATAGTCACGTAATTACTCTTGATGTTACTTTCTAACAATGCCTCTGTGTTTGATGATAATACAAACCCTGCTGGAAAGACACAATGATGCGTGCGATACTGGGGTTAGAAATTCGTTTCTATTCATTAGCCAATCAGGCTAGACAACTCTTGCAACCACTAACCATCTTACAAATCTACTAAAAAAACTACTCCAAAAAACAAAAAAAACAATGCAAGCACATGCCACGTTAAACAACGCTCTTGGAATAACCCGACATATCAACAAAAATTAATGACTACGTAGTCAAATCTAGCTCAAATATCTAGCTCAAATATCTAGCTCAAATATCTAGCTCAAACCCTCCTGACCACCAGAATTTACGATTACATCAAACAAGACTCCAGACGAATCGAACATGATTGACGATCGTACTGATGCCTGACTAGCAGATTAGCGGTAATTCCGACCCCCCGGGCAGGCTGCTCACCGGACACGATGGAGACGATGCGGTAGGGAAGGTTCAGCTGCTTGTAGAATTCCTCTGCATTACCGATCATCTCCTCGAACATCTCCCACGACGCGTTGTCGTGCGGCGACGTCAGCACAAACTGCTCCACCTGGCGAGAGAAAAATCCGCGCACCGGTGAGAAACCGCGCGCACGCACAAAAGAACACGTTAGAATTTTTCGTCACGTTTTTCTGTTAAACAAAAACACGATGAAAGAAAAATACAGAAAAAAGGGCAACATTATGATATATAAGGAAACTTTCTCGTTTAGTATTTACTGCGAGCACAAAGACATCGGAGCAGTGCATGGACCCAATCGCAAACTGATGCAAATCCAAACTAAAAAAGTGAAACAAGTAAAATTACACGTACCTTCTCGAACTAGTGCACCCTGATCATGAATATCCTGTGCACGTCACCATGGGCCCATGGCCATATGGCCACGCAACCTAACCTCCACCAACGCTCTCAATCTAGAGAGTATTTAGATCCCCACATTATTACCTTCTCGAACTGGTGCACCCTGAATATGCCGCGTGTGTCGCGTCCGTGCGAGCCGACCTCCTGGCGGAAGCAGGTCGAGTAGCCGCAGTACTTCTTCGGAAGCTCGTCCGGATGTATCCATTCGCCGCGGTGATAGGCGGCGATTGGCTCCTCCGACGTCGCGATCAGGTACTTCTCCTCAACGGCCGCGTCGCCTTCCTTCTCGCTGCCCTTCCCCACGACCTGCACACGCATAGAGAAAGAAAGAGAGAGTGAGTGAGATATATAGAGAGAGGGGGAGATAGACACAGTGCATTAACTTGTTTAATTTAATGCTCAAAAATTTGTCTAACCTGCTGCATTTGCTAGCCACTGACTGTACCACTGTTCTTTTTCTTTCACACTGTCCGGCAAAGTTGCATAAAATTGTGCATCAGATAGTTTCATAGGATAGACAGCTAGTGGAGAGCTTGAACCGAATAGTGCTATGCTGTACTTTTTAAGAGGGAGAAGAAAAGAGCACATGACATGTGTTGGTGCGTATAGTATCCAGAATAAAGGATTACCACAAGCTCCACCTATTACATAAATGTGCTGTCACCGAACAGGGGCGCGATGCCAGGATTTTTGGAAAGGGGGTGTTCAGTAAAGAAATAAAGGGCGACTTTTCCTGCTTAGCTTTTTCTGGTGTTTAAAAAAGCTGCCGAAAGGCCACTTTATGTTGGGGTTTGGGGGACGCTCCCCCAATATTTAAAAAAAAAAATTTGGTGCATTCTGAGAGCATACCTGAGGCAGTAATTGTTGATGTCTATGAATGCAAAAATTCTTATCAGATCCGTCCGCGTTCTTCGCGCCTCTCCGGTCTCCTACTATTCTCGTTGCTCTTCTCGCGGAAGGATAGCCTGACAACACCCTTTGCTCGAAAGCTCTGCAAAAGAATGGAAGAAGTGATATACCAATTTCTTCCTTACAGGTGAGCGATTACGATTGAGTTAGACCTTTCGAGCGGTTTTTATAAAACGCAAAATTAGTACATATATAACTATCTAGCATTGAAATCTCTGATAATGTACACGCAAAGAAGACACACTAATCTAGGCGCTAAGGCAGCAATATTTTGTGTGTGTCTGTGGTAGTTGTGTGTGTGTGTGTGTGTCGTGTGTGTGTGTGTGTGTGTGTGTGGTGTGCGACTGTGCGTGTTGTAGTGTTCATTGTGTCGTGTGCGATGGCCTGTGATGTCGATAGTGTGTGTGTGTGTGTGTGTTGTGTATGTTGTGTGTGTGTGGTTGGCTGGCTTAAATGTGCGCAAGATGCCTTCTGGGGATATACGCGCTGTGTTCCTCTTCGCTCGTGTGTGTGTGGCGAGAGTTGTGGATGTTTCGTTGTGTTGTTGAGCTGTGTGTGTGTGTGTGCGCCCGGTGTCTGTGTGTGTGGTAAGTTGTGTCATTTTGCGTGTCGTGTCGGGTGTGTGTGGTGTGTGTGGCTTGAACTGTGAGTGTGTTAGGTCGTGCTGGCCCCCCCCTGGGTGGGCCCGCAGGGGTGCTGTTCGTCGGCAGTGTCTGTCATTAGGGGAGTATGGTGGGCGGTGCGTTTGTCGCGAGTTGCTGGCGTCGCCGTGCCTTCTGCGTGCGCTAGCGAGTGCATCGTGTATAGCCTTTTTAATTTTTTCTTTGTCTGAGCTGTTTAAAAAGGGGGCGGGGGTTCGTTCCGGAGCCCCCCGTGCGACCTCGCCCCCTCGTGGATCAGTTCCCGTCAGTCATACCACCTCGGATGATTAGCGCTGCTACTTATATACGGGGTCCGAGGGAGACACCGACCGAAATAGGTGCAAATCTGTTATCTTAGCGGCGTGAATGCATGCGTCTGCCTACCTGTGTATAGGCGGTGTGTGTTCTCCTACACACATTGACGTTAAGGAGGTTTGAGAGTCAGAGGTTATGCCTTGGAGAGGTAGTCCTTTAATTTTAGGAGCACTTTCCGCTAACTGCAATGATGTCAGAAGAACTGCGTTGTTGGGTGCAGTGGGTAACCGCAGTGCCGAGCGAGCAAATCAGAATCGACACTAAACTAGTAAATGTTTCTTCGAGGCCTTGGCAGCTCAAGGGCTGGCAAATGCGTTAAAAACACGTGTTTGTGTTGCAAGCAAGATCCATATATTAATTACGTTCTTCAGAGCCTTTGAACCCTATTAACATTAGACACACATATTTGCGTGAGGTACAATAGCTGTGAGAATGTCGATATTTTTTAAGTCTTTCTCAGTGACCGAGGGATGATGGATAATATTCACTGTTGTTGTTTTTCACTGCAAGCTAGCAGCATGTGTTTGTGTGAGCAAGAAAATGTGCGAGAAAGTGGATGACAGTGTAAATATGGCCCGGTAGGGTCCTATATATGTTCTCCCTGACCTCTGTTTGACCCGGGGCTGGGATAGTCTTAAGGCCTGACTGTTCTCGATCTGGTACAGTCTGTTCTACTTAGTACCCACACCGCCTAGGCCGCTGAAATAAACCGCAGAGTCACAGTTCTACTATGGGGGGAGCGGGGCGAGCGTTATTCCGAGGGGGGCTGGTTCGTAGTGTTACGTAATTCTCCTCGTCAAATAGACCCCGAGCCCCTCCCCACCCGTCAATTCAGGCCATAAAACCACATTTTTTTTTTTTAAAACAGGTGATTGCAAGAATTTCACCATCAGTCGCTCCATTTTAGTGTAATGGCACATTTGGCAAAAATCTCCATCGTGGAGGGATGTTGTGGGAGGCATTCAATGAAACACCAGCGTTTTCAACGCCATCGGAATCATATCACTACCCTCCACTTTCCAGTATAATGTCTACGTTCTGTGGAACTATGCAAGGGAACTGCATGGGGAGTTCTGGTGGAAGTACGTGCCCTGAAACCAATTATATTCTGACTATTTCCAATCAACTTAAAACATAGAATTAATATAATTGAACAAGATTACTCTATAACGCAAATGTCCGATGTGTCCATCGAAAGTTGAATCGTAGACCCCAACCTGCCTCGGTTCCGATTGATCTTCGGACTTGCGATCCAACTGTCCTCTGCCACCTCGTTCCAGCGTTCGCGCAACACAAATTAGGAGCAGGGTGCAGGTGTTTACGACGGGGGGTATTCCCAGGCCGAGTCCAGGGCGGACCCACCCTTGCTCGCGCAGAAAACGCAATCTCTAGGGGGTGAGGGGCGTGTAACTTAAATTGGGAGGCCCCCCAGACCCCGGCCCTTACGGCGTGCCAAGCGCCCGGGAGAGCTTATTTGAAGAATTAATAATTGCGGATATAGAATTCATAAACTCCATCGTGGTAAAATAATCCTGCATCGCACGCCCTACTGCCGAGCAAAAAAATTGCCAACATTGAAAAACGAACCCCCCCCCCCCATATACGAAAGCGCTACCTGGCCTTACCAGCGAGGAAGCACAGGTAATCACCAATATATAAGTGAGTCAGAGTAAGTTATTAATGTACATAGCTATACTATAGGCAATATTATGCATTATCACTTAGGCTGGATAAAATAATTAAACTGATCAATAATTGAGTGAATTGAACATGAAATAATCATAAACCAAGCGAGGTCAGATACAGAGAGGATCAGCAGACAGAAACATAGACCGCTTACTGCGTTGCATATGGCTGATAGGTCTAGTAATTATGTCCCCAGGGTACTGCGAAACGTACGCCTGGGTACGGTCCGGTATTTAGATCACCAATAATTATGCCATGCACTTCCCTTTGCGCCGAAGCGTACGGGTGGTCTTGATAATCGTGCAAATACTGGAGCTAAATTATATCTATATATAAGCCCGGACGCGGCGTTACTCCTAATCGGTCAACTCTCAATCTTCAACACTTACGAGTCCCTATACAGTGGAACCACATGACTTCGAGAATAACACATATCAACGTCGCAATCGTACATGCTCAGGTAATCACGGCTAACACTACACCAATAACAACAACAACCTAAAAAAATCACTACCTTATATTCCTTTATGTTCTCTGCAGAATACGTAATTACCTGAGGGTACGTTCTTGCAAGTACCCTGGGGGACATAGACCCTATGAGCGTAAAGCTGGGCGGCAGGCGCGTAAGCAGGGGGGGGGGCGGTCGCCCCAAAAACACCTGGCCAAAAAGAGAGAGAAGAGAACAAAAAAGTAAGAAGGAGCGTAGGAAGAAAAAGGAGCATACAAAGACCATAACAAAGACGTGTGTTAAAATGATATAAAAGAAACAAACAGATAGTTCCTTTGTTAATTATTTAAAAACTATTTTGTGAAATGAGCTTTGAGCCACACAACCATTCAGGATCGCGGGATACGGTCTTTTTCTGCCGGTGCATGCCTAAAATTATTTTCATATTCGCAGCTCACTTCTACTATTGATGTCAATAGACGCCAGTTCGTACTGCACTTAATCCAAGATCCAGCTCGGCATAACATATCATGTGTACGACATACACAATAATATGACTATCACGATGCTCAATAAAACCGAAGTAACCTCATAAAATTAAAAACGGAATACTTTTGTGTACAGCAGCGGAGGTCGGTTCATCAATTACAGAGTGCTACTTGTGTATTCTTATTGTGTGTCTGACACATGTCACAACAACTAACAAGTAGTCCTGGCTACAGCGAATTATGGGAAATCCTTATGATGAAATGCCGTGATTGTTTGTGAATTGGTTGATTTAAACGTCTAATATTTTATGCCGCTTGGGTCAGAATATGCATGATGCTTCTTATACTATAGTCATGCCTTTCAGTATGGTGGCCGATAACTTATTGCCTCTTTTCCTGAAGATATCCTGAAAAAAAATCGAAATTTGGTAAACAATAAATTTCAAATTAGTTATTTTTTGAAAATTCAAGAATTAAGAGTCGAGAAGCGGTACACCGAATCGTCTCTTTCTACTAATAAATTTAATGAAACTGTCAAAGCTTCGCGCTTATCGCGCGGGAGGGGGGGAGTTCCTGTCTCCCCTCCTGCACCCACCCCTAGAAACCACGCGCGCATCTTTAAGGGGCGTAAATCCGGGGGGATGGGGGATGGCATCCCCCCGCCTCTTGAAGGAGGGGGGATGGCCTGTAACAAATATCCGCCCTGAGATTCAAGAAATAAAAAGGAAAAAAAAAGAAAGGATAGAAGAAAAAAGAATTGTTTCAATTTCAGGCCATAATGCAATGAGAAATGAGTTTTTTAAATGTATGTAATGAAGGACTGTATAGGCCTACAGTAACAATTCAGTGTTAATCAATGGGCTATATGCATGGTATGCGAATTGCACTGTTCAGTGGGCACGGAGGAAGGAGTGACTGCAGCAGCATATAGTCCTCAAGAAGTACGAAGTGCTATACGGGTGCAGTGGAATCTACACCTAATATATCAAAGCTTCTTTGCAGGCAGATAGACAATGTCTGTCTTGACGCAGAAGTGAGATTTACGGATTATTTTAATTGAACACAACTGTGCCTTTGAGGCGGCAGACCATAAGCAAATGAACTCTTCAGAGAAAATGTTTCCAAGACTCACAAATACGCGAAAAAGTATGGTTGCAAACATACAAAAACACGTGAAATTGATGAGAAATTGCAATTCTTACCTGTGTTTTAATACATGTATTATTACTGATAGTAACACTAACTGATGTACGCTCTCTGAAAAGTAATGAAATTGTTTTGAAACCTAACTTGAGGCTTTAGATCTAGGGTTGAGATAGTGTCATCAGACAGATGAGAATAATATGGACCGAACAGATGCCTTAGATTGTCAGGAAAATGCTTAAATATTTTCAAATTTTCTGGGGGGCATGCCCCCAAACCCCCCTAGCACTGGCATGACTATGGCATAATTTGGCATGTGCGTGCATGTATATATGCATGTATAAATGTATGTACGTGTGTTTGTGTGTGTGTGTGTGTGTGTTGTTTGTTGTTTGTTCGTTTTGTGTGTGTATGTGGTGTGTGTGTGTGTGTGTGCAGCGCGATCGCGCGCGTGTGCGTAAATTATGTGGGCTTGTGCTCGTGCTAGTATGTGATGGCTATCGCCGATCATCACCCCCACTCGCTCGTACGGATTTACGCCCCCTGATTCCACACGTGCACGTTCTCATT